ATTTTAGTTGACACTGTGAGAAGGAGTCCTCTCCATCTGAGGTGAAATTGGTCTGTGTAAGCTAGGACTTTTATTTTTAGGATTTTCTGAATTTATGGACACAACAGGTAATATATGTGTTTTGGGGGGCTCTTATTTTGGAAAACAACCTCAGAATGTCCTGAAACATTGTAGTTGACACCTTGAGAAGGTGTACTCTCCAGCTGAGGTGGAATTGGTCTGTGGAAGCTAGGACTTTTATTTTTATGATTTTCTGAATGTATGGACAAAACAGGTAATATATGAGTTTTGTGGGGCTCTTATTTTGTAAAACAACATCAGAATGTCCTGAAACATTGTAGTTGACACCTTGAGAAGGTGTACTCTCCAGCTGAGGTGGAATTGGTCTGTGGAAGCTAGGACTTTTATTTTTTATAATTTTCTGAATGTATGGACAAAACACCGTATATATGAGTTTTGTGGGGCTCTTATTATGGAAAACAACATCAGAATGTCCTGAAACATTGTAGTTGACACCTTGAGAAGGTGTACTCGCCAGCTGAGGTGGAATTGGTCTGTGGAAGCTAGGACTTTTATTTTTATGATTTTCTGAATGTATGGACAAAACAGCGTAGTTTGGGGGGCTCTTATTTTGTAAAACAACATCAGAATGTCCTGAAACATTGTAGTTGACACCTTGAGAAGGTGTACTCTCCAGCTGAGGTGGAATTGGTCTGTGGAAGCTAGGACTTTTATTTTTATGATTTTCTGAATGTGTAGACAAAACAGCTAATATATGAGTTTTGGGGGCTCTTATTTTGGAAAACAACATCAGAATGTCCCGAAACACTGTAATTGACACCTTGAGAAGGTGTACTCTCCAGCTGAGGTGGAATTGGTCTGTGGAAGCTAGGACTTTTATTTTTATAATTTTCTGAATTGTATGGACAAAACAGCGTATATATGAGTTTTGGGGGGCTCTTATTTTGGAAAACAACATCAGAATGTCCTGAAACATTGTAGTTGACACCGTGAGAAGGTGTCCTCTCCATCTGAGATGAAATTGGTCTGTGTAAGCTAGGACTTTTATTTTTTATGATTTTCTGAATTTATGGACACAACAGGTAATATATGAGATTTGGGGGGCTCTTATTTAGTAAATTAACATCAGAATGTCCTGAAACATTGTAGTTGACACCTTGAGAAGGTGTACTCTCCAGCTGAGGTGGAATTGGTCTGTGGAAGCTAGGACTTTTATTTTTATGATTTTCTGAATGTATGGACAAAACAGGTAATATATGAGTTTTGTGGGGCTCTTATTTTGTAAAACAACATCAGAATGTCCTGAAACATTGTAGTTGACACCTTGAGAAGGTGTACTCTCCAGCTGAGGTGGAATTGGTCTGTGGAAGCTAGGACTTTTATTTTTTATAATTTTCTGAATGTATGGACAAAACAGCGTATATATGAGTTTTGTGGGGCTCTTATTATGGAAAACAACATCAGAATGTCCTGAAACATTGTAGTTGACACCTTGAGAAGGTGTACTCGCCAGCTGAGGTGGAATTGGTCTGTGGAAGCTAGGACTTTTATTTTTATGATTTTCTGAATGTATGGACAAAACAGCGTAGTTTGGGGGGCTCTTATTTTGTAAAACAACATCAGAATGTCCTGAAACATTGTAGTTGACACCTTGAGAAGGTGTACTCTCCAGCTGAGGTGGAATTGGTCTGTGGAAGCTAGGACTTTTATTTTTATGATTTTCTGAATGTGTAGACAAAACAGCTAATATATGAGTTTTGGGGGCCTCTTATTTTGGAAAACAACATCAGAATGTCCCGAAACACTGTAATTGACACCTTGAGAAGGTGTACTCTCCAGCTGAGGTGGAATTGGTCTGTGGAAGCTAGGACTTTTATTTTTATAATTTTCTGAATGTATGGACAAAACAGCGTATATATGAGTTTTGGGGGGCTCTTATTTTGTAAAACAACATCAGAATGTCCTGAAACATTGTAGTTGACACCTTGAGAAGGTGTACTCGCCAGCTGAGGTGGAATTGGTCTGTGAAAGCCAGGACTTTTATTTTTATAATTTTCTGAATGTATGGACAAAACAGGTAATATATGAGTTTTGGGGGGCTCTTATTTTGTAAAACAACATCAGAATGTCCTGAAATACTGTAATTGACACCTTGAGAAGGTGTACTCTCCAGCTGAGGTGGAATTGGTCTGTGGAAGCTAGGACTTTTATTTTTATAATTTTCTGAATGTATGGACAAAACAGGTAATATATGAGTTTTGTGGGGCTCTTATTTTGTAAAACAACATCAGAATGTCCTGAAACATTGTAGTTGACACCTTGAGAAGGTGTACTCTCCAGCTGAGGTGGAATTGGTCTGTGGAAGCTAGGACTTTTATTTTTATAATTTTCTGAATGTATGGACAAAACAGCGTATATATGAGTTTGGGGGGGGCTCTTATTTTGTAAAACAACATCAGAATGTCCTGAAACACTGCAGTTGACACCTTGAGAAGGTGTACTCTCCAGCAGAGGTGGAATTTGTCTGTGGAAGCAAGGACTTTTATTTTTATAATTTTCTGAATGTATGGACAAAACAGCGTATATATGAGTTTTGGGGGGTTCTTATTTTGTAAAACAACATCAGAATGTCCTGAAACATTGTAGTTGACACCTTGAGAAGGTGTACTCTCCATAGACATCATATAGATAGACGCCCTATTGGCCGCTGGGCGCAAGAAATGCGGCCGCCATCTTAAACCGGTCATACTCCAATATGCGTTGCTTAGCAGGAGTAGATGCCAGAGCACTGTGCAGCATATTCCTGCTCAAATCGGTGGACCATCGCTCGGAGATTACTTTTCACATGTAATATTTAAGATATAACACTACCGTACTATTAATTGTATTTTGTGAATAAAATATTGAATGTGTCCTGTATCGTAGCTACGTGTATGACCTTTGCAGCAAAACAAACCGCGTGAAAATCAGTTCGGTATTCAGTGAGATATGATTAATTAAATGCGCAGACAGCTCATTGCAACTGCCAAACAGATTACACTGAGCGGAGCGGGCGACCGGTCTAAGATGGCGGCCCCACGGCTCGTCCACGCCAATAGGCAGTAGCGGTCGATAGGGCGTCTATCTATATGATGTCTATGGTACTCTCCAGCTGAGGTGGAATTGGTCTGTGGAAGCTAGGACTTTTATTTTTTTAAATTTTCTGAATGTATGGACAAAACAGCGTATTTATGAGTTTTGTGGGGCTCTTATTATGGAAAACAACATCAGAATGTCCTGAAACATTGTAGTTGACACCTTGAGAAGGTGTACTCGCCAGCTGTGGTGGAATTGGTCTGTGGAAGCTAGGACTTTTATTTTTATGATTTTCTGAATGTATGGAGAAAACAGCGTAGTTTGGGGGGCTCTTATTTTGTAAAACAACATCAGAATGTCCTGAAACATTGTAGTTGACACCTTGAGAAGGTGTACTCTCCAGCTGAGGTGGAATTGGTCTGTGGAAGCTAGGACTTTTATTTTTATGATTTTCTGAATGTATGGACAAAACAGGTAATATATGAGTTTTGTGGGGCTCTTATTTTGTAAAACAACATCAGAATGTCCTGGAACATTGTAGTTGACACCTTGAGAAGGTGTACTCTCCAGCTGAGGTGGAATTGGTCTGTGGAAGCTAGGACTTTTATTTTTTTAAATTTTCTGAATGTATGGACAAAACAGCGTATTTATGAGTTTTGTGGGGCTCTTATTATGGAAAACAACATCAGAATGTCCTGAAACATTGTAGTTGACACCTTGAGAAGGTGTACTCGCCAGCTGTGGTGGAATTGGTCTGTGGAAGCTAGGACTTTTATTTTTATGATTTTCTGAATGTATGGACAAAACAGCGTAGTTTGGGGGGCTCTTATTTTGTAAAACAACATCAGAATGTCCTGAAACATTGTAGTTGACACCTTGAGAAGGTGTACTCTCCAGCTGAGGTGGAATTGGTCTGTGGAAAATAGGACTTTTATTTTTATGATTTTCTGAATGTGTAGACAAAACAGCTAATATATGAGTTTTGGGGGCCTCTTATTTTGGAAAACAACATCAGAATGTCCTGAAACACTGTAATTGACACCTTGAGAAGGAGTACTCTCCAGCTGAGGTTGAATTGGTCTGTGGAAGCTAGGACTTTTATTTTTATGATTTTCTGAATGAATGGACAAAACAGGTAATATATGAGTTTTGGGGGGCTCTTATTTTGTAAAACAACATCAGAATGTCCTGAAACATTGTAGTTGACACCTTGAGAAGGTGTACTCTCCAGGGGCCGGTTGCACCAGCTGTGCGTAAGTTACAACTTAGCCTAGTTTTGACGTAAATGGGCACTAAGTTACAACTTACGCACTACTAAATATTTTTCCGTTGCACCATTAAACTTAGTTTAAACGTAACTCTACGTTCCAACTAAATATTTACGGCAGCTCCGATCAGGAGTAACGGTTGGAATAAAATATCAGACAGACTGAACTGCATCAATAAGCTCTTCTTTTACCTGACAGACTTCAATTCTTTAGACATATATGATAATGCTGACATTTACACTCGCTTACATTTTAAGAGAGAGCAGTGGCGTAGGTTTGATTTTGAAATTGGTGGGGACGGGGACATCAATATTTAATATATTTAAAGTTTTGATCGAAAATTTTGCTAGGGATATATCAGTGTCACTGGATGGTAGGGACACGTCCCTAGCGTCCCTACTAAATTCTACGCCCCTGAGAGAGAGAACATTATGTGAAAAGATTACTTTGTTAGCAGCACTTTAACACGAACCCGTCCTAAACGACTGTAAAAAATAGGTCCTACACAGCGCCGCTGTGTGCATTGGTTCATGTTGTGTGTTGGAGAGGCTTTGGACTGTTAGGTTTGGATTAGGTGATGGATGAGTAAACCCTTCTGGGTGCCGGTAAGAGCACAAATAATGAGGAGACAGGTGATCAGATTAACTTGGTGTATTGTAGGTAGATGGATGGATCACAACTGTATATTCAATGATGTACATAGTCTGGAAAATAAGTACAATAAAGAGAATGAATAAACTAAATACAATAATAAGCATTCACTGTTAAATAATTAAATAATTATCCTCAATACTCATCATTGACATTTTTCTACTTAACATCCAGTTGAATAAACAGAAACATGGTATTAAACAGGAAAATACACACTATAAGGGCAATTTGTCCTCAATAACATACAATGCCCATATATGGGTAACCGCATGGCTCATATGCATTACATACAAACAGACATGACGCTGATCGTCTAGTATTGGAACATATTAACAGACCGACTAACATCCCCTCATTAATAACCCATAACATTGATATGGCGCTTAATAAAGAATGAATCGTCACACTCAAGTAATAGCCTATTACTAAATACTAGCATATTACCGATCTGGATAACACAGAACGATCTATACAGGACATGTCCGGACATGCACTTATGTCACAGACGCTTAAGTCTATTCAGATCAAGTTACACAACTGAAAATCAACATAAATATAATCAAATTGACTTACTTTAAGGGCAATGACTAACATCATAATATTACAGTTGCACCAATCACCCCGAACGAACAGGAATCAGCAACTTTACAGCTGACAGCTCTCACAGATCACCTACACACAGCAGATAGCGGCAGTTGCACTGACGACTGTACACTGTTCTGCATGTTACCATGACTACGGTTTCAGAATAAAAGTCCCGACTAAATGCGGTCTCAGAATAAAAGTCCCGACTGAATGAGCCTTTAATACAGCCGCCCCCAAAGATGTGGAGCATCTTTGCTGCCATGAAAGGCGACTTCACTTATCAGGGGCTAGCAGCATCGGGACAATCCTTAGGTAAGGCTGGCAGGATGACTAGGCGGGCTACCGGTCTGGTGTAAACTTGGCCCTTTATCTGAACGTCCGCTGAACGGATATGACCATCCGGACTTAGGTGAGTCTTGATAACTTGTCCCACAGGCCATAAACCACGAGGTAATTGGGGGTCTACAACTAAAACAAATGTTTTCTCCTTCAAGTCAGGGGGAGAGGCTTGCCATTTCTGGCGAGTTTGAAGGCTGGGAAGATAGTCCCTAATGAACCTTGACCAGAATCGGTCCGCTAGGATCTGGGAATGTCGCCAGCGCCGGCGACTTAGCATCTCTGATTCTGGGTAAATGACTTGAGGCAGAGATCCATCCGGCCGCCCCATGAGGAAACTATTTGGCGTCACTGGGTCAGCATCTGCAATATCGGACGACACATAACCCAAGGGTTTTGAATTCAGGATGGCCTCCACTTCCAGCAAGACGGTCATCAACACTTCCTCGGGAACTGACTCTGAATCCAAAACTGTGTACAAGGCTGACTTAACAGATCTCACCTCCCGTTCCCAGACTCCACCGAAGTGGGGGGCCGATGGGGGATTGAAATGGAAATGGATCTTCTGACGAGCAAGCTGATGCTGTATATCAGGAACTAATGCGGCATAAGCTTCCCGTAACTCCCTTTCACCCCCGCGGAAGTTCGTACCTTGATCTGACCATAACTCAGCCGGTGTCCCTCTCCTCGAGACAAACCTTCTAAGAGCCATGAGGAAGGAGTCAGTACTCATGCTTGGAAGTAGGTCTAAATGGACTGCTCTCGTGGTCAAACATTTAAACAGAATACCCCAACGCTTCTCTGTACGTCTTCCGAGTCTGACCAGCAATGGTCCAAAACAGTCCATTCCACAAGAATGGAAGGCAGGCTTGTAGAGCCGAAGACGAGCAGAGGGTAAATCTGCCATCTTAGGGATTGTCGGTTGGGCCCTCCACCGTTGACATTCCGGACACTCATGTTGAAACCGTCGCACAGCTTCGCGGCCACGAAGAATCCAGTAATATCTCCGTAGTTCGGCAAACAGCCGTTCAGATCCAGAATGATGTAACTTCTGGTCATAATGATGTATGATCAAACGGGTGACTGGGTGATAAGGGTCCAAAACCAGAGGATGTAAAACAGAGTCCTCAATGCCTGCAACTCTCCTCAGACGACCTCCTACCCTGATAAGACCACTGGACGGATCCATTTCCGGGGCTAAGGTGATTAGACGACTTTTGGACCTGACTGACTTCCCACTCTCTAACAATTTATAGTCCTCAGGAAATGATTCCTGCTGCACCCGTCTGAGAATTTGGAGCTCAGCCTGATGGTAATCCTCAGCCTGGGGAGAAGTCCCAGGAGAAATGGTAGTTCGAAGTTCTTGGGCTGTCACGTCCAATAGTTCCTGCCAGGTATGGTAGTTCCACCCATCAGTATTGCCAGAAGAAGGAGGGCAGGTACTGATCCCACAGAAGGCCGATTTCCGCAGTTCAACCTTGTCTGCCATGGTCTCAGTCGTAGGTAATACTGGCCAATCCTTGGGATCCTGGAGGAGGAAGGAGGGTCCTTGAGACCATCGGTTGGATGCAGCGAGGTATTGAAGAGGTTTCCCTTTCGTGAGGTCATCAGCCGGATTGTCTGCAGAACTTACATAATGCCATGAACACTTATCCGTCAACTCCTGGATCTCAGCAATTCTGTTTCCGACAAAGACTCTGTATCGACAGGACTCCGAATTCAACCACTGAAGGACCGTGGTAGAGTCTGTCCACAGGGAAATAGACTTGATGGGTAGGGTCAACTCTTTCTCCAGTAACTTAGCCAACTGTGCTGCGACTAGACTTCCGCAGAGTTCCAGTCTTGGAATAGAGTGAGCTCGTCTAGGAGTGACACGCGAGCGTGCGATGATAAAGGACAGGTAGGTCCGACCTTCCTGGTCGGTAGTCCGGAGGTAAGCCACCGCTCCGTATGCCTGCTCAGAAGCATCCGAGAAGACATGTACCTCATGAGTAGCTATACTCATTTCAACTTCAGGAGGGAGATATGGCCGGGAAAACGTGATACCAGGGAGGTATTGGAGTTCCTCTTCCCAACTATTCCAAGACCGGAGGAGCTCAGGTGGTAAGTTGGGGTCATCCCACCCTCTCTGTTTGTTCCACAGTTGCTTAATGATCACTTTCGCTCGAGTCGTAAAAGGTAGAAGCCAGCCAAGAGGGTCGTATTGGGAAGCTAGGACCTTATAGATATTCCTCAATGTAAGAGTGTTATATACCACAGGTCGGTGCTTGTACGACAAAGTGTCCGTCTGCCAGTTCCAGCTCAGGCCTAGCGTTGATTCAGGGATATCTGACTTCTCCTGCGTCAACCACAGTTCCACACTCACAGCTCGGGCATTGGTTGGTAGGTGACTCACCACACCAGGAGCATTGCAGGCCCACTGGCGAATGTCAAATCCAGCTCCAGAGAGGATATTCCGTAGTCGATCAATCAAACTTCGCGCTGCTTCAACAGTAGGCAGGCTCTGCAGGCAATTATCGACATAGAAACATCTCTCCACCGAAAACCGAATCGTTTCATCAGTCTGAGGATGTTGCTGTACATGGCGTTGTAGTGCGTAGGTTGCACAGCATGGACTGGAGGTCGTGCCAAAGGGTAGTACCTGCCACTCAAGAATCCTAGGTGCCTCATCCATCTTCAGGTCCCGCCAAAGGAAGCGGAGTAGAGGACGATCCCCAGGTAAAAGGCGAACCTGGTGAAACATCGCCTTGATGTCCCCACTCACTGCCACAGGATGTTCTCTGAAGCGGATAAGAACACCCAATAGCGAGGCCCCAAGGGTGGGCCCTGGCAACAGGTACTGATTGAGGCTTTGTCCTTGATACTGATGGGAGCAGTTAAAGACAATGCGGCACTTTCCATTGTGACTAACAATGTGGTGAGGGATGTACCAGCATTCAGCCGAATCAGGTAAGGGGTCAGTCGCTTCCCGAACAGCTCCTGTCTCAACTAATTTCCTCATTTCCTCTTTATAGACCTCAGCTTTGGTGGGGTCCTTCAGCAGACGCCTCTCTACACTACGAAGGGTAGGTAGGACTGACTCCTTAGGTGCATTCAAACAAGGCATATCCTTACGCCGCAGTAAAGGCGTAGCTAACCGATTGATGCCCTCCACAGGGTGAGTGCGGGTTTCCATCTCAAGCAGCTGAAGAGCCTCATGATCTTGCTTGGACCGGGTTACATCTTTACTCTCCCACTGCGGACCCACATCCAACTGCCACAGGCGTTGAACATTCTGGAAGAGTTCGTCCTGAATTGGATCCATGGATGTTAACAGGCATTGCCGTGCTGCATGAGGCCGCCCCATGAAAGGAATGGGGCCCTGGAGCGTCCATCCTAGGCGTGTATGAACTGCAGCTGGCGCACCCGGGCCGCCCCAATGAACAGGCTCTGTCGGAATTATGAGATGGGGCTGATCGGAACCGATGAGAAGTAAAGGCTGGACTTCATTAAGTGTACTGATTGGAAGACCCCGCAGATGCCTGTACTTCTGTCGTAGCTGTTCTACTGGGTAAGACTGGCGGGATAGGTTAAGACGATCTGCTGTGAAGGCATGATTGATCTTATAACTGGTTTGGGGTTTACAGATGGAAGAGATCTGAAAGGATATGGAAGAGCCATGAAGGACCTGAATATCGTCTCTCACCGTCCGCAAAGGCAGATCCTCAGGGACACCCTTGATGCCCAAGGCCTTAACTGCAGTGGAGAGCAGAATAGTCCTCTCCGAGCCATCGTCAAGAAGAGCGAAGGTGTCAAGGGTGCGATCTTCATAATGTAAATTTACAGGAACCACTTTGAGCATGACTCGACCTCCGACAGAGGGTTTATCCAGGAAGAGTCGATCCGGAGAGGAATTCGTCAGGCAGCTCTTTTCCACTTGAGCCGAATCCTCCCTCGGGGATAGACCAACATTCACCTCATGAAGAGGGCGGAGATGTGTGCCTTGGCATAGGTTGCAGGGTTTCTTAAGGTCACATTGAGCAGCATGGTGTGCCCTAGCGCATCGCCAGCAACGGTTGTTACTCCGAATCCATGTCCTGACCTGGTCAGAGTTAAGCTTACTGAAGGATGCACACTGGCTTAGATAATGCTCAGTCTGATCACAGAATGGACAATACCGTTTCACTTTAGAAGGTTTAGTTTGTGAAACGGGACCCTTGCGAGAGATGGGAGTCTCAACTGGGGGTTCTTTAACCCCATGCAGGATGGTCACAGTTCTCTTTCCAGAGTCTTGCTTAGCGTGAAAGACTTTAGACATCGGCTCGGCATCGTAGCTGTGGCACCATGTTTCGTAACGGAGCCAGTTCGAAAGGTCAACTAGATTAGGGGTCATGCCAGGTTGGTGGAACATATGGCGACGGAAGTCAGCACGCAGCTCAGGTGGAAGCTTACTAAGAAGTCGCGCAACATGGGACCCACAACTTAGCTCCAGTTCACCATCGCGTCCCAAGGTTCTCAGTAGTCCCACTAGTGACTGTACCTGGAGAGCGAACCTCTGGAAGGCAGATATATCACCTCGCTTGATGTCAGGACTCTCAAGAACAACAGCGATCCTCCTTAAGGCAAGTTGATGCGGTTGACCAAACTTCTCATGAAGTGCAGTCATTGTATCAGTGAATGGGGTAAGGGAGTTCAGATAAGCGTCCGCTATCATTCTAGCCTCCTCAAGCTTGAGATGATCCACTAAGATCTGGTATTTGAAAAGTTCTGTCCCGTCAGGAGGGAGCAGGTTCTCTAAAGCAATCCGGAGTCTGGCAAACTCACCAGGATCAGGCCGGCTAAACTTAGGAATGGTAGGGGTAGGTC